TCTTCTTCCCGGCTCTCGCGAGACATGCTGCCGCACGCCGGCGCGCAACAGGATCACTGCGAATGCGGGAACAGAGCGCTGTGATCGCGAGAGGCAAGGGGATCTTCAAGTATCCTTGAAGATCCCCTTGCGAGAGGGCAGCCCAGATATTCGCGTCAAACTTTGAGGCGGGCAGCCCACGATGGTCGTCGCGACCTCAGTTGTCGTCCGTTTACTTCGTATTTGAGGCGGGCAGCCCAAGATGGTGCGCTTCGCGTCCACAGCGCCTTCGGCTCACGGCCTGCCCCGGACGCAGCGCCCGCTGTCGGCGACGGCGCCGGCGGCCTACGCCGACGACGACGCGGCCTACGATGACGACGCCGCCGAGGAGCGCGAGCTCCGCGAGGGCATCGGCCTGCTCTTCGGCCTCGAGAAGGAGCTGCACCACCTGCAGACGGAGCGCATCCGCGAGGAGCGCGACGAGCTCGAGCAGGAGCGCGACGCCTGGAAGAAGCGCTGCGAGGACCAGTCCGCCGCCGCGCGCGCGGGCCCCGCGGCCGCGCGGCGCGGCGCGGCCGCGCGCGGCCCCGAGGCGCCGCGCGCGCCGCCGCGGACGCGCCGGCTCTTCGCGTCCCTCTGCGAGACCGACGGCGCGGGCTACGCCGACGAGGCGCCCGGCGCCGACGAGGTGCTGGACCTCGAGGACGCGGGCGTCGGCGACGCGACGCTCGGGCTCGTCGTCGCGCGGGTGCAGCGCGCGCCGTCCGCGGGCGAGTTCGCGGAGCGCGACCGCGAGCCGGCGGGCGACGGCCGCAAGTGCCGCCTGTCCCACGCGCTCCTGCGGAACAACGGCCTCAGCGATGGCGCCGCGCCGGCGCTGCGGACCCTCGCGCAGGCGCAGCGGCTCCGCGTCCTCGACGTCTCCGGCAACGACCTCGGCGGCGCCGCGCTCGGCGCGCTCGTGCAGTCGCTCCGGAACCGCGGCTCCTGCAGCGGCCTGCGGCTCCAGCGCCTCTGCCTCGAGGGCAACGAGCCCCTCGCCGGCGCCTTCGCCGCGGGCGAGACGCTCGGGGCCGTGCCGGAAACGACCGGTGGAACGGACGCGTCCCGCAAAACCTCTCGAGCTCGGTCACATCGAAGTCGTTTTGGCTGATTTTTGGACGAATCATTTTCTCTCATCGAAGCACGGCCGAAGCGTACGGCGCACTCCGTTCACTTACGCGCGCATGGACGTCGGGTCGAAGATTTGAGTTTCCTGTTCAGGCTCGGCGAGGCGCTCTACGCGGCCGCGCGCGACTCCTTTTTGCCGCGGCTCTTCGAGGTCACGGCGACGCTCCGGGACGCGGCGACGCCCCAGGCCATGCGCCTCGGCTGCCGCACGCTCGGGAACCGCTTCTCGGACAACCCCGTGCTGCCCTGGAGCGACGGGTCCGGGGGCGGCGCGGACGCGGGCGGGCCCGCGGGCCCCGGGACCGCGCGCGCGCCGGGCGGCCTCATGCCCGCGGCGGGGCCGGACACGACGCACTGGCGCAAGGACCGGAGCGCCAAGGAGGCGCGCACGCGCGCCGACGAGGCGAAGAAGGTCGCGCTCGGCGGGCGACCGCTGAACGCGCTCAACTTCCTCCGGCACGTCGCCGCCGGGGCAGGAAAAGAGTGCTTCAAGTTCGCTTCAACATGAGTGTTCCGCGCGCGCGCGTGCCGGGAACAGCATCCACGCGTCGAGAGCGCTCCGAGAGATGATCGCTCGTCCAAGAATTAGCCGAAACGAGTGGAAAACGACCGAGAGAGGAGCCTCCAAAGTTGGGAATTTCGCACTCTTTTCCTGCCCAGGTCGCCGCGGAGGAGGCGAGCCTCGAGGCCAAGCACCTCGCCGCCGACGGCCGCCCGGGCCCCCAGGTCGCGTCCCTGCGGTCCCTGGCGCTCGTCGGCGCCCAGCTGTCGCCGGAGAGCGTGAAGTGCCTCTGCCGCATGCGCCACCTCACGTCGCTCGACGTGTCCTTCGGCTTCGTCGGGGCCCAGGGCGCGGCGACGATCGCGCACCACCTGATCACGGGCGACGCGAGGAAGGGCGACGAGGCCGCGGGGCTGATCTTCCTGAACCTGCGGCACAACGGCATCGGCGACGCGGGCCTGCTCGCCGTCGCGGCCGCGCTCGACGAGCGCGCGGCGGCCTCGGGCGCGCGCGCGGCCTACTACGACCTCGCCATCGACGCGCGCGTCGACGGCGATTTGCCGCGCCGGGGCCGGCCGCCGCCGGGCGTCGCCGCGCGCGACGCCTTCGCGCGCGCGCGCGACGCGCGGCGGCGGCGGCCGCGGCCGCCGGCGCTGACGTACCTCGACGTCTCCTCGAACCGCGTGGCGAGCCAGGGAGGCCTCGCCCTCGCCGTCGCGCTGCAGCGCGCGCCGACCCTGGTCTGCGTCGACGTGAGCCGCAACGGCATCGGCGCGGACGCCTGCGCGCGCCTCCTCAAGGCCGCCGCGGCCTCCAAAGGCTGCCTCGAGGTCCGCGGCGCGCGCGCCGCGGGCGCGCGGGCCCGGGACGTCGCCGACTTTGCCGTCGCCGTCGCGGACCGGAGCGACGCCGCGCGGCGGCACCTCCGGGGCGCTTTGCGGACCGTGCACGTCCGCGACGACGACGACGCCGCGCCGCGCGTGCTCGCCGCGCCCCTCGACGGCACGCTCAAGTTCGCCGCCGGCGCGGGGCCCCTCGCGGCGCCCCCGCCTTTGGACGATGCATCCGCGCGACGGAAGGGGACGCGGCGGGGCGACGACGCGCGCGACGAGTCGGCGCTCGCGCGCGCGATCCGGGGCGTCGCCGCGCGGGTCGCGCGCGCCTGCGGCGCCGAGGACGCCTTCGTCGACGAGCGGCCCCAGTTCTCGCCCGCGGAGCTCGCGTCGCTGCGCCTCGAGCGGCCCGCGCTGCCCGCGCCGCCGAAATTCGCGGCCTGGACGTGCGCGGCGCGCCGCTTCGTGCCCATCCGGGGCCACCTGACGCTCCGCTGGGCGACGGCGGCCTACCCGGCGTCGCTCGCCTTCCAGTGGCACCTCGTGCGCACGCGCGAGGTCCGCGGCGGCGCCGCGGACGCGCTCGCCGCGGGGTCCCGCGACGGCGACCCGGCGCCCGACCCGGACGCGGACGTCTTCGTGGAGGCGCGGAGCGCGTGGGCCTGGCACGACCACACGGTCGACGTGCCCCACTGCCTCCCGAACGACGTCCTCTCCCTCTGGCTCGCGCCGGACTCGGCGGAGGACGCCGCGCGCCTCGACGCCGCGCGCCTCGTCGCGCGCGACTTCCGGCTGGAGCTCGCGGACGCGCACGCGGCCCACGCGTCCCACAACGCCGTCCTCCTCGACGCGGCGCTCCTCGCGCTGCCCTTCCACGGGTCGGACCCGCTCCACGCGTTCGACGCGCGGTAAGGGGGACGCGTCTTCGGACGCGTCGGAGCGCGGCGCAATCTCAGTGCAATCTGCGGAGCCTTGCAGGTGAAGGGCTGGTGAACTGAGCGCTTGTACTTGACGATGTGCAAGCTCTTGGATTGATTTACATCGCGCTTATGAGCATGGGCTTTGCCCGATCAGCAGGTGATTGCAGCGTGCGCTGGATGCGAGCCGTGCGCGGCGTCGCGCTGGCCGCGGCGTGCTGCCGGGCGTTCGTGCTTCCGACGAAGCCACGACATCCCTCCCTGTCGCGCGCCGCGGCGCGCGACGCGCCGGAAAACGACGTCTACGACGTCGTCATCTGCGGCGCCGGCCCGTCCGGCCTGTCGCTCGCGTCGGCCTGCGCGCGGCGCGACCTCAGCGTCTGCGTGGTCGACCCGGCGCTGGACAAGCCCTGGCCGAACAACTACGGCGTCTGGATCGACGAGGTCGAGCCGCTGGGCTACGGCGACTGCTGCGACGCCGTCTGGCGCGAGAGCAGCGTCGTCTTCGAGGACGCCGGCGCGGGCGACCTCGCGAACGTGACGCTGCGGCGGCCCTACGGCCGCGTGGACCGGATCGCGCTGAAGCGGCGCCTCGTGGACGAGTGCGGGCCATCGACGGTTTTCGTGAGCGAGGGCGCGCGCCGCGTCGACCACCGCGACGACGCGCCGAGCGAGGTCTCGCTGGACGGCGGGTCGTCCGTCCGGGGCCTCGCCGTCGTCGACGCCACGGGCTTCAAGCGCAAGTTCGTCGAGCACGCCGCGGCCTTCGACCCGGGCCTCCAGGTCACCTACGGCGCGCTGCTCGACGTGCCCGGCGGCCACCCGTTCCCGCTCGACAAGCTCGTCCTCATGGACTACCGCGACGGCTACCTCGGCGACGACGCGGCCGCGGTGAAGCGCAACGAGCGCTTCCCGTCCTTCATGTACGTCATGCCCCTGTCGGAGCGCAAAATCTTCTTCGAGGAGACGATCCTCGCGAGCCGCGGGGCGGGGAAAGAGTGATTCAAGTCCGCTTCAACGTGAGTGGTCCGCGCGCGCGCGTTCTGGAAAACGCATCCACGCTTCGAGACCGTCCCGAGAGATGATCGCTCGTCCAAGAATCAGCCAAAACGAGTGGGAAACGGCCGAGAGAGGAGCCTTTGAAGTTGGGAATTTCGCACTCTTTTCCCGCCCAGGTGAGCCGGCCCGGCGGCGACAGCAGGGACCTCGAGGCGCGGCTGAGGAAGCGCCTCGCGGCGTCCTACGGCATCGGCGAGTTCACGGTGTTAGAGTCGGAGCGGGCGGCCATCCCCATGGGGGGCGCGGACCCCGTCGTGCCCCAGCGGACGGTAGGCTGCGGGTCCACGGCGTCGTGCATCCACCCCGCGTCCGGCTACATGGTCGCGCGCGCCCTGGAGGTCGCGCCGCGCGTCGCCGACGCGCTCGCGAGCCACCCGCGCCTGTCGGCCGCCGGCCGCGCGGCCGCGCGGGACCGCGGCCGCGAGGCGCCGGGCGAGCTCGCGTCGCTGTCGGCGGCCGCGTGGGACGCGACGTGGCCGAGGGACGACCGGAAGCAGCGCGACTTCATGCACTTCGGCTTCGAGCTGCTGTGCGACCTGAGCCCGGGCGAGCTGCGCGACTTCTTCGCGGGCTTCTTCCGGCTGCCGGACGCGCTCTGGGAGCACTTCCTCAGCTGGCGGCTCTCGGGCGCGGGGCACGTCTACATGGGCGCGCTCGTCTGGTGGGCCTGCATCCCGAAGCGCTTCATGCTGCCCATGCTCGTCAAGTCGCTGCCCTACCTCGTCGACAAGCTCGTGCTGCCCTTCGCGTCGCGCGGCGGCCCGCCGCTCGCGGAGCACACGCCCTACTCCGAGGCGAAGTGGCGGCCCGACCGCTACTACGCCTACCTCGACGACCTGCGCGCGGACCTCGAGGAGCACCACCATCGTCGGAGTTAACTGCTACGAGGCTTACACTGTACAGACGATAGCGGGGCGAAGCGAGGGGGCGGCCGCGGGCGCCGGGGGATGTTCCAACCGGCGGCCGCGGGCGCGAGCGATCTCGAGCGGCGACGCGTGTCACGTCGCCGTGGGGTCCTAGGGGTCGGCCACGTCGCGCTGGCGGCCCCCGCGGGCCTTGCGCCGCTCGCGGGCGACGGCGACGGCGCGGGCCTTGTCCTCGGCGATGGCCGTCTGGACCGTCGGCGAGAATTTTTTGCCGCCGGCGCGCCGCTGCTCCTTGATGAGGCTCTTGTGCGTGATCTCGAGCTCCTTGTTGCAGAAGCGCTTCGAGTCGGCGACGGCCGCCGCGCAGGCGCCGCGGACGAAGGCCTCGGCCTCGAGGGGCGTCTCGCAGGGGGGCTCGAGCTCGTCGTCCTCGCCGCACTCCGCGTCGACGAAGGGGTCGCAGCCGACGGGGTTCTCGTCGTCGTCGAGGCGCCGCTCGGCGTTGAGGAGGTCGCGCTCCGCGGCGTGGAGGAAGAAGGCGCCGAGGTCGTCGGCCGCGCCGAGATCGTCGCGCCGCCGCATCCACCGCGCCGTCGGCAGGAGCCGCGTCTGGTAGCGGTTCGCGACGCCGCCGCCGAGGACGCGCGACACGAGGTCGTCGATGGCCGAGAAGCGGTCCACGAGCACCTCGTCGCTGAACCGGAGCAGCGCGTCCCACGCGGCCTCGCGGGTGTCGACGCCCTCCCACCGCGCGATCTGGTCCGCGCCGAACTTGTCCAGCAGCGCGGCGACGCGCGCGGACCGCGCGGCCTCCACGGCGCGCTGGTCGCAGCGCCGCATCTGCGTGTACTTGAGGAGCACGTACTCGCGGCCGGACGCGCTCGGGCCGTAGAGCCTGTGGAGCGTGAGGAACGCCAGCACGGTGTGCATGCCGTTGACGAGGGAAAACTTGCGCTCCGAGAGGTAGTCCGCGTGGGTCAGGGACACGGGCAGGGACACGATGTCCCGCCCGAAGGGCACCATGCGGTTCGTGAAGCCCGGCTCCAAAACGACGATGGACCCGGACCACGGCTCCGCGTCGATCTCGACGCCCGCGGGCCCGATGCGCCGCCCCGTGCAGACGCGGTCGACCATGCAGTCGACGACGCGCACGCGCGTGCGCAGGGACCGCTTCAGCGCCGCGACGGCGGCGTGGTCGTTCTCCGCGCAGTACAACACCGGCCGCGGGTCGTCGCCGGGGTTCAGGTCGCCGGAGAACTCCTCGGACGCGCCGTCGCCGAGCACGTAGTCGGGCACGTAGCGCCGCCGCCGCCGCGCCGTCTCCGCCGCGCGCCGCGCCTTGTTCTGCCGCGATACGACGTCCGCCTCGGACATGAGCTCCGGGAGCGCCTCGAGCGTCGACCGCATGACCTTGTTCATCGCCGCGCCCAGGGAGCACGAAAACGACGTCGCCTTGCCCAGCACGCCCGCGAGGTCGCTCTGCGAGGCGCCGAAGACGAGCGACGTGCTCGGCAGCGCGTCGGGCACGCGGCCCCTCGAGACGACCTCCGCGCGGCGGACCTTCACCTCGTCGTTGACGGCGACGTCCACCCGGGACTCGCCGTCGCTGAGGAAGATCTCCTGCCAGCGGGGCTTCGGCCGCTGGACGACGGCGAAGGGCACGCCGGACGCGGCGATCGCGGGCACGACGAGGCCGAGGCCGAGGCGGCCCGCGCCGAAATGCACGTGGTAGCGGCGCTCGGCGTCGAGCGCCGGGTTCTGCTGCTTGAGCCGCAGGAAGTAGTCGGGCCCGTAGACCTTGGAGAGCACGTCCGGCGGCACGTCGCAGGTGTCGTCCGCGAGGCACCGACGCCAGTCGGCGACGGAGACGAGCGTCTCCGCGCCGCCGTCGGGCACCGTGAAGACGAGGTCCTCCTTGAGCCGCTCCTCGAGCTTCTTGCCGTCCAGCCGCACGCCCACGGCGCCGACGACGTCATTGAGCTCCTCGACGGACATGATCGCGCAGCTCTCGATGGACCCGCCGTCGTCGAGGCGGCAGACCTCGAAGACGCGCTCGCTCGATGTGTGTCGTGCGCTGCTTGCGCGTCGGCGGTGGCACGCGTGTCTCCGAGGGACCCAGCAGCTGCATCTCAGCAGCAGCAGCAGCAACGACAACCAACGCCGCGGCAGAGCCATGGGCAACAAGTGCGTTTATTGCGATCCAGAGCTGGCTTTGCTGCGATAGATGCTTCGATTGAAGCCAATATGAACCCGTTGATGTTTTGTTGCACCGCTCTGCGATGAGCTGATCAGATTGAATCGTCGTTGACGTTGTGTTGCCGCACCGCGCTCCTGCCTGCAATTATCTGAAGCGCGAATCCCGGGGGGGAAAAACGTACTAGGAAGGACTCGATGGTCAACACGGAAGGCGAAGCGAGTTTTAGAGTAGCCGCACGGGCGTCGCGTTGGGCATGATGTACTTGCCGTCGAAGCCGAGGAACGACTCGCCGTCGACGACCTTGCCGTTGCCCGTGAGGATGCCCAGCGCCGCGCCGCACATGGAGTGGCCGTAGAGCAGCACGACGCGCTTGCCGCCGCCCTTGGCCGGCGGCAGCGCGGCGACCTCGGCCTTGAGGTCGTCGAGGACGCCGCGCATGCGCTCGAGGACCTCGACGAAGTTCTCGCCGGGTATGGACCGCCCCGTGGCCGGCTCGACGTAGGGCCCGCCGGCCTTGACGACGGCGTTCTGGGCGAGGTAGAAGAGGTGGCAGATGGAGTCCTTGGGCAAATCCTTGACCATGACGTTGTCCCAGTCGCCGAACTTCATCTCCGCCGTCGACTCCCAGGTGGCCACGGCGATGTCGGACCGCCGCTTGAGGAACGCCTTGCCGGTGTCCGCCGCGCGCGCGAGCGGCGACAGGACGACGAGGTCCGGCTCGAGGCCGAGCGCCTCGAGTTTTTGCGCCGCGTCCTCGGCCTGCTGCAGCCCGATCTCGTTCAACGCGTTCGACGGCTCGTCGACGTAGCCCTGGTAGACGCGCGGCTCCGTGTTGCCCGTCGTCTTGCCGTGGCGGCAGTACCAGAGCTCGAAGTCGAGCGCCGGCGCGGCGAAGCCCGGCGCGTACGACACGACGCCGCGCGCCACGTCGAGCGTCAGGCCGCAGCGCGCCGCGGCCGCCTCGAGCGCCGGCGCGTCGACGGCGCTCTGGATCCAGTAGGCGTAGTTCTCCTCCTGCGCCGGCTGCGCGGCGGCGATAGACGCGTAGATCTCCTCGAGGCCCTCGGCCGTCTTCTCGCCGACGGCGCGCAGGGCAACGTTGCGTCTGGGGGTCGTGGAGAGCGCCGTTGCGACGGCGGTCGTCAAGATGAGGCGCATCGCTCGGTGCCTGAGAGCGCGATCCATCAGCTTGCGTCTCTTCTGAGAGCGCACGATGGACAACGAGCCGGGGCTTCGCGCCAGCCTTGCGCCCGACGCCGTCGACGCGAAGTGGGCCGTGACGTCGCAGAAGCTCGGGGACGCGCCAGATGACCCAAATCCCCCAGCGCCATCGCCCGGGATACGTATCCTGCCTAGGTCTCCCCCTCTCAGCCTAGCTTCTAACGCGCCGGCACTGGCAATGGCTCACCTCATCTGGGCACTGGGCCCACAGCGCTGCCAGCTGTAAAGCTGAGCCTGCCAAAGGAGGGGCGCATCAGCACTGGCCGCGGCGCGCTCCGCGACGGCCTCGTCGTCGTCAACACGCGCGGCCACTCCCACTGCAACCAAAGGGCAAGCAGCGGGAATCCACGGCACCTCCAGAGCTCTTCAAGTTCGAGTCGTGGTCCGCAACCACTGCCGTGGCAAGCTCCCGGCAGCTCGCAATTGCCGCCCGACGTTCCAGCGCCATGCGGATCGCCGCAGTCGTGGCGTGCGTGCTGACGGCCACCCATGCCCTCCAGGCGCCACCGACCCAGCGCACGCGCCTGCACAAGAAGACGAGGAGACCCGCGCCCCTCGCGACGCCGCTTTCGGACGAGGGCCCCGTGACGCTGACGAGCAGCGGCGACGTCGTGAGCAGCACGGACGCCGCCTACGACGCGGAGCTCGCCGCCGCTCGGAAAGAGCGCGCCAAGGAGCGCTTGGAGAAGATCCAGCGCATCAACACGCTCGCGTACGTCAACGCCGGCGTGTTGGCCTTCGTCGCGCTGGGCGTCGCCTACGAGCTCTTGCACGTCGACGTCGAGGCCATCGTGGCGCTCTACACCTACTGCTTACCCGTGGAGAACGAGGACGCCTATCGGCTGGCGACGTCGCTGGACCTCCTCGCGCGCTTGCCGATGGACAGCATCCACAGCTACGAGGCGCTCGTGCCGACGAACCCCATCTTCTACAAGGCCTGCACGTCCGGCGTGGCCTACACGCTGGGCGACTTCGTGTCCCAGATCTACCAGGGCCGGAACCTCAAGTCCGTGGACCTCGCGCGGTCCGCGCGGTCGGGCGCCGCGGGCTTCGTCGGCCACGGCCCGCTCTGCCACTTCTGGATGGTCTGGATGGAGGCGCACCTGGACTTCGACGGGGCCTGGTACGGGACCGGTTTCAAGGTCTTCGCGGACCAGACGGTCTGGAGCCTGTACCTCAACGCGATGTACAGCTTCCTCATCGGCTCGTTCGCGCTGCGGAACCCCAGGGACGTCTGGGAGGACGTCAAGGCGACGTCCTGGCCGGCGCTGCGGTCGTCCTGGCGCTTCTGGCCCTTCGTGCACACCATCTCCTTCTCGCACCTCGTGCCCCTGGACCTGAAGCTGCTGTGGGTCGACGCGATGGAGATCGTCTGGGTGACCATCCTGTCCAAGGTCGCGAACGACGACAAGGTGGCGAAGCTCGACGAAGACCCGGAGGCGGAGCCGGTGCTCGCCGTCCTCGAGCCCTTCGGCACGGACCCGGCCCTCGAGATCGAGCTCACGCGCGAGTTCGAGCTCGACGCGTCCCTCGACTTCGACCTCCGGAAGGAGGACCAGTTCGACGAGAAGAAGCTGTCCTTCGAGCTGCCCAAGCAGATCGCCAAGGCCGCCTGGCCCCTCGTCGTCATGTGGCCCGTGATCTTCTGCACGTTCCAGGCCGAGAAGGCCCTCGCGGGCACGGGCATGTTGTAAAATAGTATCATCTTGGTTAATTCACCGGGCTAGTCGCCCGGCGGCGGGTCTGGCGCGCGCCGCCGCTTCCGCCCCTGGGGCGCGAGGATCGCCGCGGCGACGGCCATGGCCGGCCGGAGCTCGTAGACGAGCGAGAGCCGCGGCGCCGGCCCCTTGGCGACGTCGTGCGTGCAGGCGCGGAGCCGCCCCCGGGAGAGGGCCTGGAGCGCCGCGTCGACGAAGACGACGACGTCGGCGTGGGGCCGGTAGCGCCGCTCCGCCTCGACGACGTCGCCCGTCGCGCGGTCGCGGACGCGCAGGCCCGGCGTCCCGGCGACGGGGATCGCCGTGACGAGGCCCGGGCTGTCGACGTGGGGCGTGCTGTTGGGCTCGGCCGCGGCCGCGGCGTCGTTCGGGTAGTACATGAGGTCGAAGGGCGAGCTGGAGATGGCCTCCGACCCGGGGCCGACGACGAGCCCGAGCTCGTCCTCCGCGCAGTCCGGCGCGGCGGCCGCTCGCGCCGCGCGCCACGCGCAGACCGCGACGCGCTCCAGCACGTCGAACGCGCCGAGCACGCGGCCGCGCAGCGACACGGGGCAGCGCGGCACGGCGTCGTGGCAGCCGCGGCGGACGCGCACGACCTCCTTGGCCGCGTGCGGGCGGTTGTAGCCCACGAGGCCCTCGCCGCCGGCGTCCGCGAAGCTTTGGCGCAGCCGCGCCTTGCCGCCGTCGGGCGTCGACTGGAAGAACTCCCGCGCGGATGCGGCGCAGTCCCGCACGGCGCGCGCGTCGCGCTCGCCCAGCGCGATGACCGCGAAGGAGTGGCGCTCGAGCGCCGCGGCGACGAGCGCCGGCTCCTGCTGCGCGCGCCACAGCGGGATGGCGTCCATGCCGCGCTCGGGCCGCGGCGGCGCGGGCGCGGCGCCCGCAGCGTGCACGTCCATGTTCAGCGCTGCCGACGCTCTCCGGCGCGGACCATCATGCTCTCCCATAGACCTTGGCGTCCACTGCCGCTTCAGCCCCGGCCAGATCTCGCGACCTCGCGGCCAATTTGGCCGGCTCCTCGCGAGCTCGGCTTGGCGCGTCGTTCGCGGCCTGGCCGCCGACCCTGTAGCCCTTGCCCCGCGCCTAGCCTCGCATGGTCATAGAGAGGCCGCCCGACGCAAAAATCCGTCCGTGAAACGCTGTCGGGGGCGGCGCACGCGAACGGTCGGAATCGACGCACTCCTCCTGTGGCGGTGCTTGCGGCGCGGTCCCGCCGGCGCCGCGGCAGCGGCAGCTCCAGGAAGCTCAGGACGCGCGAAGAGGTCCTAGACGGTGCCTCTGACGAAGCGTCGCGACGTCGGGCGCGTCGCACGGGTTCGGGGGTGCGGAAAGCCGCTCGGCGGCGCCAGGCGCGAGATTCGCTACGACTTCGCCTGCGCGCACACTTCGCCGCGAAGACGCTCCACGAGTGTTTGTAGACGCACGTCGGACGTCGCCCAATGCCTCGGAACGATTCCAGCTGCTGCGACACCCGTCATCGGCCACTAGCACAGCTTCTACTCGCAGGGCAGCAAATCCGCATGCACGCCTTTGACGCCCAGCGCACGAGATGGCGCTGCGAATGGAGCTCGGGCGCGCTCCAGCTTCCTCCACGGGACACACTCGCCCGATTGCGACCGCTCTACGGCTCGCACGACTGAACCTGTCGCCGCGACCGCGAACCACAGCCTCGTGTCCTGCGGGCCTCTACCCCTAGCCGTCGCCACCGGTGCTCAAAAGCGCGCGATGGGATGTTTAAGTGTCTTACGGCCCCTCCGCGGGCGAGAAGCGGCGCGCAGCGCTGGCCACGGTCAGCAAAATCACCCGATGCGAGTCGTCCTGGCGGTGGCTGGACGGCTACTGGTCTGGGCGACAATTTGGCCACGCCGTCCGCTGCGGAAACGACGTCGACGAAGGTGATCAACGGGTCGCACGGGGTCGGAACATCAACCGAAGCATTCGCTGAGACCGTCACGGGTTGCAGGACGTGGATCGTTGCTGCGAGCCGTGGTCGAGATCTTGTGCGGCGCCGAGATCTCGGAAGACGTCACAGAGGCGTTCTCGGTGCCCACAGCGGAATCCACGCTGCAGAGAGCCGCTGCCCGTCTGTGCGAACGCCGCGAAGCAGTCGGCGCGCCTCGCGAGCACCGTATCGACCAACGAGCACTTGGTCGCCGGCGCCGCGTTTCACCGACAATCCCGAGCGAGTGATAGCTCCGTCGGAATCGTCGTCCGGGGCGTCAGAGAAGTTTGGCACCTCGAGGGGACCCCACTAGTGGACTCCGAAGCGCCTCAACCCACACCTGATCGTCGATCGTGCAAAATGGGAGCGCATCGCGGCGAGTTGAGGCCGAAAAAGACGCAAATCCGACCGCCTCGTTCTCGCGGACGAGCGCGCGCAATGAGACTGCGCGTTGCAGCATTCGGATAGGGTCTCGTGCGAACCCGTAGAGCCAAGCCGCGCTCAAAACGATGCGATTTCGGCCGAGAACGAGCCCATACGCGCTGGCCGAAGCCGGCAGTGACGCCGAAGCGGCAGTGGACGCCAAGCATAGACTTCACCACCGCTTCACCGAGAGGCAAACATAGCCCGCGCGCCCCGATGGACGTCGCGTTCGAGCTGTTTGAGCAGCCGACGAGGCTTGTTTTCCAGCCAAACGATCGCGTCGTCTCGACGAAGAAAGGCGTGAACGGCGTGGGCGTCGTGGAAGCGCTCGAAGACGAGGACGCGCAGGCCTACGGCGACCGCGTGCGCGTGCGCTGGGAGGACGACGGCCGCGTCTACCACGCGCGCGCCCACCAGCTCCAGCGCTACCGGCCCCGCGGCGACCGCTGCGCCGTGCTGCTCTGCGAGCGCACGGAGGACTTCCGCGCGCTCTCGGCGCAGGCGCTCCCGGACGAGCGCGCGCTGGACCTCGGCTGCTCGTGGGGCGAGGGCACGACTCGGCTGGCTCGGCGCTGCGCCTACGTGCTCGGCGTCGACCGGTCGCCCGAGGCCCTCGCCGACGCGGCGCGGAAGCTGCCCGAGGCGCTCCGGGGCCGCGCGGCGTACGCGCCGCCGACGGATCTGCTCGCCGCGCCGCTCGCGGCCGTCGTCGGCGACGGCGCGTTCGACGTCGTCTTCCTCGACCTCGGCGGCGTGCGCGCGGCGCACCTCGTCGCGGGCCTGCTGCCGGAAGTGGTGCGCGTCGTCGCGCCGCGCGTCGTCGTCGTCAAGTCCGTGGAATTCGCGCGGGCCGTCGCCGCGCTCCCGGACCGGTCCGGCGCCTGCGACGTCCTCTGCGCGCGGGCCCTCGCCTGGCACGACGCGCGCGTCGCCCGGAAACGCGCGCTAAATGCCGGCTAGCGCCGAGGCCCGGAGACGCGCGCGCGATCCCGGCGAGCCTAGGCTTCGTCGTCGTCGTCGTCGAAGACCGCCGCGCCGCGGCGGCCGGCGTCGTCGGGCGGCTCGAGGGCGCCGACGTCGCCGTCGTCGTCGAAGAAGGCGGCCCCGACGTCCTTGGACGCGAGGCTCCGCTTGATGGCGTCGTCGGCCTGGCCGAGGGCCGACTTCGTGCGGAGCGCGGACTCGAGGAGCGCGTCCGCGAGCTCGCCGAAGGCCCGGGCCTTGGGCCGCTTCGCCCTGCGCTTCTTCGCGGACCGCGGCGCGTCCGCCGGCGCCGACACGCCGAAGGTCGCCGGCGGGGCCCGCGGCGGCGGCGCGTCGTTCTCGTCGCCGCCGCCCGCGCGGCGCCGCCGCCGCTCGTCGCGCACGGCCGCGGCCGTGGCGATGGCGGGCCCCATGGCCGCGAGGAGGGCGTCGAGGCGCTCCCGGCTCGCGGCCTCGCCGGCGCCCGCGGCGAGGTCGTCGACGAGCCGCGCGACGTCCCCGAGGCGCACGGCCGTCGCCGGCGCGTCGCCGTCGCTGTCGTCGTCGTCCAGCACGACGAGCGGCGCGCCGCGGGCCGCCGCGAGGCGCTTGTCGACGTCGAGCTCGCGCCGCGACGCCGCGCGGTCCGCGCGCGCGGCCGCGAGGTAGTCGTCCGCGCCGGCGGCCGGGGCCCCGCGCGGCGACCGCTCGGCGACGAGCTTCGCGCGGTCCGCGGCGCCGGGGATCGTCGCGCCGACGACGTCCGCGCGGCCCAGGGCCCGGAGCTGCGCGTCGACGTCCGCCAATCGCCGGAGCTCGTCTTCGTCGCCGCCGTAGGCCGCGAGCTCCTCGAGGACGTCGTCGCAGGCCGCTCGCGGAGCGCGCGGAACTCCTGCTCCATGGTCAGGAGCGACCGGCCCTGGCGGTGCTTGTTGTCGAGGACGAAGTCCGTCGCCGGCTTCTCGTCTTCTTTCGGCGGCGACATCGCGCGGTTCCGGTCCCGGAACCGCGACCGCTTCGACCGGGGCCGCTTCTCCGTGAGGAAGACGGCGTCGGACGCCGACGACGCCAGGGACCGCGCCGTGCCGGGGCCGTCGGTGGCGTCGCCCGCGAGATGCGCGTCGTCGAGCCGCGGCGGCTGCGACGCCGCCGCGAGGGCGCCCAGATCCCGCACCGCGCGCGCCTTGGCCTGGACGCGCCGCAGCTCGCGGTCGAGGCGCTCGATGGTCGCGAGGCCCAGGACCATCCGCTCCTCCTGCACGCCGTCGTCGAGGACGCCCTTGTACCGCGAGAGGTCTCCGGAGCCGCACGCGCGGCCGACGCCGGCCCGGAGCGAGCTCGCGGCCCAGGACCGGCCCGCGGCGTCGCCGCCCTCCCCGAGGTCCCGCCGGTTCATGAGCTTGACGACCTCGTCGTAGTTCTCGGGGAACCGGACCGTGGGCGCGCCGTCCGCGTCCTTGGCGGAGCGGATCGCGTTCGCGTAGTCGCCGAGCTCGCGCCAGAGCTCCGCGCGCTCGACGTCGTTGCGCGCGCTCAGCACCTCCCGGGAGTCGGGCCGCCGCGGCGCGTCGCCCCGCGCGCTCCGGAGCGGGGGGTCGCCGCGCGCGCTCCGGAGCGGGGGGTCGCCGCGCGCGCTCCGGAGCGGCGCGGCGCCCCGCGCGCTCCTCGGCGGCGCGTCGCCCCGCGCGCTTTTCAGCGGCGCGTCGCCCCGCGCGCTGTTCAGCGGCGCGGCGCCGCGCGCGCTGTTCAGCGACGCCTGGCTCTTCCGTTCGCGCTTCGACCGGAGCAGGTCGTCGGAGCGCTCCGCGGCGACGTTGGCGGCCGCGGCGACCTTGGCGGCCTCGCGGCGCTCGCGGCGGCGCTTCTCCTCCTTGCGCCGCTGGCGGTCCGCCTCGCGCGCGCGCCTGGCCTCGCGCCGCGCGGCCGCGTCCGCGTCCGCCTCGGCGCCGCCGCCGCCGCCCTTGCCGGGGCTCAGGATCTTCACGAGGTCCGCGCGCTCGCGGTCGCGCGCCGCGAACGCCTCCATGAGCGACGCGCGGCTCGCCGCGGCGTCCTCGGGCACGGCCTCCTCCTCGACGGCCTCGGCCGCGGCCGCGGCGCCGAAGAGCGCCGCGCGCGCCCGGTCGCGCGCCGCGAGCTGCTCCCGGAGCGCGTCGCGCGCCGACGCCGGCTCGGGCGCCATGGGGATCATCTCGTGGAGCCCCGAGTCGCCCGAGCTCATCGGCCGCGGCGACGGCAGATGCGTGGCGCCGTGGCGGACGGCGGCCTCCGCGCCCAGGGGCTGGATGCTATTCTGCGCGGGGATGTAGCGGGCCTTGTTGTCGCACGACTTCGGCCGACTGCCCGCGTACATGGCTCAAATGTTGGTTCCGCGGATTCCTCGCGCTCAGAGGCTGCCCGCGTCGCGCATGATGCTACCGGCCGCGCGCGGCCCGGCATGTTGACCTCGGAAGGTACTAGTAGTTTCCCTCAGGAACCGAGACTCTTCCCGCTCGAACGCCGTCGAGACTGTGTCTCGACGCGAGGCCTCCGAACCCATAGCATAATGCGCCGCTTCCAGCCGCTCCTCCCGAACGCAAACAATGATATGACGCGCCGCAAGACGCTGCCGAAGAAGAGCGTGCTCAGCCGCTTCCTGTCGGGCATGGCGGTCGAGAAGCGCGTGGCAGCGCCGCGCGTCAACCGCATGCTCGCGCCGCGGCGCCGCGAGCCGTCGCCGGAGCCGTCGCCGCTCCGCGGCACGACGTCGCCGCCGAGCCCCGGCGGCGACACGGAGCTCGACGAGGACTGGGTCGACGCGGGCGACGCGGCGGACGTCGATCGCTCCGAGGACGTCGACTGCACCTACGACACGGGCGCGGCGTCGACGTTGCTCGTCCTCCACACGGAGGCCGTGGAGCGGCACCTCGTCGGCCCGGAGCGCCAGGAGCGGCCGGAGCGCACGATCGCCGCGCGGAAGTGCGCGGAGCGCTTCGCGGCGCGGCGCGGCGCCGTCGCCGCGGACTGGGCCGCGGGCGAGGCCGTCGGCGACGGGGACCTCACGCGCGCGATCCTCCGCGCGCACACGGGCCGCTACTACGAGAGCCTCGAGGCCGCCGTCGGAGGCGCCGCGGCGGGCGAGATCGTGAACCTGACGCCCGCGGGAGACACCGTCGGCTGCGCCGGGAGCCTCGCGGCCGCGCGGCGCGCGGCGGCCGTGGGCCTCGACGCCGTGCGCCGCGTCTGCGCCGGCGACGCGTCCTGCGCGGTCTGCCTCGTGCGCCCCCCGGGCCACCACGTCGCGCGCGACGGCAAGACGGACGTCGCGCCGAGCCAGGGCTTCTGCCTCCTCAACACCGTCGCGATCGCGGCGCTCGAGGCCGCGTCCGCGCTCGGCCGGTCCAGGGTCGCGGTCGTCGACTTCGACATCCACCACGGCAACGGCACGCAGGACATCCTCGGGTCCGACGGCCGCTTCTTCTTCGGCTCCGCGCACGCGTACGGCGGCGGCACGTACCCCGGCACCGGCGGCCCCCGCGACGCGGCGCCCGCCAACGTGCTCAACGTGCCCATCCGCGGCACGGTCACGGCCAAGGGCTTCCGCGCCGCCGTCGCCGCGCTGGCGCGGCGCGTCGCGGCCTTCGAGCCGGACCTGCTCCTCCTCTCGGCGGGCTTCGACGGCCACCGCGACGACCTCGCGGACCTCGGCGCGCTCGACGCCAAGGACTACGGCGAGTGCACGACGGCGCTCCTCCGGGCCGCGGGCGCGGGCCGCGGCGTCGGCGTCGTCTCCGTGCTCGAGGGCGGCTACGGCCGCTGGTGCGCGCCGAAGAAGAAGAAGCCCAGGGCGAAGAAGAACGCCCCGGGGCCGAACCTCGCCGCGGCCATCGACGACGCGCGCCTCGCGTCCTTCGGCGCGTGCCTCGACGCGCACCTCGAGGCCATCGCCGCGTTCTACGCGCCGCCGCCGCCGCCGCCGCGCCCGGCGTCGCCGTCGACCGTCGGGACGACGTCGCCCCTGCCGCGCGCGCGCCTCACCTTCGACTCCGCCTAAGTCGCCATCTGCGAATTGCGACCGCGCCGGACGCGCCTGAGATGGTCGCCTAGAGCTCCCCCGCGCCGCCCTCGAGCGCCGCGACGAGGCGGTCGAAGTTGGGCGCGAAGGTCGCGTGGACGTCCCTCCGCGACGGGAGCTGCACGGGCGCGTCGTGGCGGCCCGGGGCGAGGTAGAAGACGGCGGGCAGCACGCCGAGGTCGAACTTGCGCGGCGCGTCGTTTTCGTCGACGTCGAGCGTCGCGACGGTCGCGTTGCCCGCGAGCGGTTCCGCGTAGGCCGCCGCGAGGTCGTCCCAGCCCTTGAGGATCGCGTCGCAGAGGCCGTTGCCCGCGCAGGCCGACGACGTGTAGAGCACGAGGGCGACGTGCTGGGACTCGTCGAGCGCCGCGAGGCCCGCGCCGTTGAGCCGGTCCGCCTTGCCCGCGACGCGGGGCGCCGGCGCCGCGGACCGCGGCGCGTGCGGGAGCTCGCCCCGCAGGGACGCCTCGGCGAAGTCGGCGAGCAGCGGCCCGTCGAGGCCCGCGCCGACGGCGTCCGCGGCGCCCGCGCGCGCGAGGCGCTGGACGTGCCTCGCGAGGAGGGTCTCGTCGTCCGCGAGGCGGCGGACGTCGCGCGGCGCGTTCCAGCTCGCGAGGACGACGACGGCGACGTCCGCGCCGCCGGCGTGGGCGAACCAGCCCAGCCGCTCGTAGGCCTCGTCGTTGCCCGCGGCCGTCGCGAGCACGAGGGGCAGGTAGCCCCGGAGGTCGCGCGCGGCGCCGTGGAGCGTCTTCAGCAGCTCCTCGGTGACCCGGGGCAGCGTCGTCGTCGCCGGGTCGATGGCGACGGCCGCGGAGCCGGCGACGACGAGCACGGGGCAGAGCGACCGCTGGAGGTGCGGCAGCCAGGCCTCGCTGAGCGCGAACGCGGGCGGCAGCGCAAGCGCCTGCGCCCAGTTGTTGAACGCGCGCGCCCACGTCCCGTCGCGGCCCGCGAGGCGCGAAAAGTCGAAGGTCGCGTCGAGGGGGTTCGGGTCGCCGCCGTCGGCGGCCATGCGCGCGCTCCGCCGGTACGCGCGCGGCGCGTCGCCGGCGCCGACGCCGCACGCGGCGACCGCGGCGCCCGCGCACAGCGCCCAGCGCATGGGCGGCCCGGCGACGGTCGCCTGCTGCTGCGCCGTGTACTTGGCCGTCGCGAGGAAGTCCGCGACGTGGTGTCCCGCCGCGCCGAAGACGGCGATGGCGCCGCCGGCGCCCGCGGCGTCGACGAACGCGGCGACGTCCGCCTCCGATTCGAGGTGCGCCGCGAAGCCGTCGCCCCAGACGCGGCCCGCGAAGGCCGCGAGGGCCGCCGCGTCGAGGTCGGCGCCGCCGTAGACGCCCGGCACATGGCGCGGCAGGAGCACGGCGACCGCGCCCGCGTCGACGTCGAGCCCGGGCACGCCGCCGAAGAGGCCCGCGTCGCCCGCCGCCGTCTCCGCGAAGAGGGGCCGCGGCTGGGCGTAGGTCGCGTAGGCCTCGCCGCCCTCGACGGCCTCGGTCCAGCTCGGACCCTCGGACTCGAAGGCTGCGCGCGCCAGCGCCGCCGCCTCGCGGAACGCCGCGCGCCGCTCGTCGCTCTGGTCCGCCGCGCCGACGAGCACGAGCGTCAGCGTCGCCGGCCGCGTCGCCAGGGACGCGTTGCGGTGCGTCAGCGTCACGACATCTGCGCCGCAGATCGCGAGCAGCAGCAATAGCGTCGCCGCCTGCCTTGAAATTGAGAAGCCCATCGCGGCGCTGCCCCAAGATCTTTGCTTGATGTTCTTTTAGGTCGTTATTTACCCCGACAACCGAGCGATGGCGCCCTCGCAAAAGCGGCAGCGTGTGGCGGACACGGCGGCTTCTGCGAAGGCCAATGTGGAGCCGCCGGCGGTGCGCATCGATGGGCTGCCCGAGGACCACGCGCTCATCGTCGACTGCGGCATCTACGAGCGGACGGAAACCGTCGTCAACGGGCGCGCCGTCTGGCACCAGGTCGACAGCGCGCCGCCCTGCGACACGTTCCTCTTCTACTCGACGCTCGGGTCCTGGTGCGTGAGCGACGAGGGCGACATGCTCGCCGGCGCGCACCAGGGCTCGATGATGACGGAGAGCGACGCGGCGACGCCGGACGCGATCGCGGAGACGTTCGTGGTCGTCGACGACGAACAGTGGGCGGCGGACGCGCCGGAGATCACCGTGGCCGCCGTGGACCGGGCCGCGCTCGACGCCGCGAAGGAGCGCGCCGAGGCGGAGATCCGCGAGGCGCTCGCCGCGGCGCCGGCGAAGTTTACGTTCGAGGGCCTGCCCGCCGGCCACGAATACGAGGACTCGATGGGCTCCTATGTGCTCGTCGAGGACATGGTCGTTAACGGCCGGCCCGTCTGGAAGCTCGAGGAGGCGCCGACCGCCGAGGAGGCAGACGACGACGACGACGACGACGAAGAAGTGTACCTCTACTTCGCGTCGTCGCGGGAATGGTTCATCTCGTTCAAGTCGAATGCGGAGGCCGGGGCCCCGAGCGGTTGGCTGCGGTCGCGCGGCTATGTGACGTCCGCCTGGGAAGTCTTCGACTTCGAGACGCGCGAGTGGTCCGCATCGGACGTCGGCGTCGTCCAGACGTCTATTTAAACATGTACCACGCGGGATAGAAATGGTGGGAGCGGACGCGGTTCGGGCCGTGGTCGCCGCGGCTGGCGGAGAACTCGGCGTCGCTCATGGAGTGCCTTCTTGAAGGCTTCAACTTGCGGCATCGATGAAGCCTCATCCCCGAGAGTGAGCGCTCTCCGCCACGCCCGTCGTCGAGCACGCTCGCGCAGCGCCCGTCGTCGAACGCGCAATGATGCGTCCGTTCGCATTGCTCGCCGTAGCCTCAGCGCTGCGCGTCGCGCCGCAGCCACGGACCGCGTCGACGCGCCTGCGCGCCGCGCCGACGGCCGCCGCGCCGCCCGCCGCAACGCCGACGCTGGCGGAGATGGAGCGATGGACGCGCGAGTACTACGCGGCGGCGCGCGATTCGCGCGTGCGCGGCGGCGAGTCGATGGACGCGTTCCTGGCGCGCTACGACTACTTCGACGAGGGCTACGTGCTCACGGGCCCCGACGTCGGCCCGCTCTGCAAGAACGACTACCTCGCGACGCAGCGCGGCTTCGCGCGGCGTCGAGCGACGGGAGTGCGTGATGTAAATTCTATGTGAAGAACTCCGACCCCGTCGCACTTGGTAGGCTTCACGCTCGACTTCGGCGCGGCCATCCCGGACCTGGACTACCTGCTCGACGGGTTCCACCTCGACCCGGACAACGACGCGCGCGTCTGGTTCACGCTGCGCTACGTCGGCACGAACGACGGCCAAGCGACGAGCATCGGCGACTACGAGCTGAAGCCCACGGGCAATCGGGTCCGCGGCGGGCCGGAGATGCACAGCCTGTGGTGGACGCCCGAGAAGCGGATCAAGTGGGAGACCGTGGGCTACGTGGGCTGCAAGTTCACGGGCACGAACGAGGGCTTCGGCGGCCTCGCGGGCCTGCTCATCCCGCTCGGCGTGCCGCGCTTCGTCTTCGCGCTGTCCGCACCCTTCGCCAAGTACCTCTTCCAGCTGTCGCAGTTCAACGAGGTCGACTACGAGAAGGGCGGCCGCGCCGTGTCGCCCGCGGCGGACCTGCCGGCCTGGTGGCACGCGCGCACGACCGCGGGCGTCAACGTCAATCGTTAGATGCCCGCGGCCCGTTCCAGTTCGCCGTAGTAGGCGAGGGCCGCCGCGAGGAGCGCGTCCGCGTCGAGGAGGGACGCGTCCGCGTTGAAGGAGATCGTCGCGTCCGGCCCGACGGTCGCGAGCGCGACGCCCAGGGGCACGCCCGGCGGCGGCGGCAGGAAGGGCACGACGGCCTCCACGGGCACGCCCCGGATCGAGAGGCCGTCGACGGGCGGGCCGCGGACGTTCGTGAGCGCCACGGTCGCGCAGCCCGCGGAGCCGCCCAGCGCGTAGGGCACGAGCCGCCGCGGCAGGACCGCGGCGGCGACGTAGGCCGCGCCGTAGGCGACGAGCGCGCCCGCGCCGCCGCGCAGCGCGCCGCCGACGTCCCGCGACACGCGCGCGACGTGCGCGGCGGCGCCGTCGCCGCCGGGCAGCGGCAACCTCGCGAGGACCGCGCCGATGTGGTTCCCGACGTCGACGCCGGGCAGCAGCGCGCCGCCGTAGAGGTGCACGGGCACGGCGCAGGTCACGTGCGCGGCGTCGCCGAGCACGTCCCGGAGGGCGCCTCCGACGATGGCCGCGAAGAGGTCGTTGACCGTCGCCTTGTCGCCTCCGAGCGCCTTCGCGACGCGCTTGAGCGTCGCCACGTCGCTGAACTTGCTCGCCCAGGCGACGGACCGGCCCGTCGCGGCGCGGCGCGGCGCGGCCCCGCGCAGGGGCGCGCGCGTCGTCGCCACGACGCGCAGCATGGCCAGCGCGCCGCGGACGACGCGCGCGACGAAGCCGAGCGCCTTGAGGAGCGCCCTCGCGAACCGCGCGAGCGCGGACCGCCGCCGCCGCTCGCCCCTGGGGCGCCGCCGCTTGGCGATCTCGGCGTCGACCGCGGCCGCGATGGCCTCGGCCTGGTCCGTGGCGCGCGCGAAGAGCGACGCGAGCGACACGCCGTCCGCCAAGCAGTGGTGCGCGCGGAGGAGCACGGACGTCCGCGCCGCGTGGTCGAAGACGAGCGCCTCCCACCAGGGCCCCGCGCCGTCGCGCCCGAGGAGCGGCGCCGTCAACGCCTCGGCGACGGCGCCGGGCAGCGCCGCTTCCCCGCGCGCGCCGCGCTCGACGACGAACGGCGCCGCGGCGGGTCCTAAATCGTCGACGAACTCGAGCGCTCGCTCGTCGACGCGGCTCCGGAAGCGCGCGCTCGCCGGCGCGACGCCGGCCGTCAGCGCGTCTTTGAGATCTGCCGCCGCGAGCGGGGCTTTAAACGTGAGCAGCACGGCGGGGATCGACGGCGCCGCGGGCGTCTCGGAGAGGAGGCTGAAGGCGCCGATGGGCGTCATTTTGCGGCGCACGGCGTCGCAGTGCGCCGCATCGGTTTCGTGCGCGGCGGTGACGACGGAGGCGCCGGCGGCGAAGCGCACGCAGGCGGCGCGGGCTGCGACGCTAAGCATCGTCTGCGACGCGATGCCACAAGAACTTGTTGCCACAGCCCTGAGCCGGGGGTCGCCGACTGCACAGGCCGGGCCGGCCGGGGCGCGATGATGCGGCGCGTGCCCATGCGGGGGGTTGATTATAATGGCCACCCGGGCGTTTCGTTTTACGGGAATCTCCCAGTCGCCGGCCCCCAGGGCGACCGCGGCGCGACGGTCCGCGTCGACGAAGACGACGGCGGTCTGCTCCATTCAGCGACGACCGTGGGCACGCTCGGCGCCGACGGGCAGGTCGCGGGGATGTACAAGGGACGCGTCCCGGGCGTGGCGGCCGAGGTCGAGCAGTGGTTCGCGAGCACCTTCGACCCCGAGCTCGTGCGGCGTCAAGCGGGGGCCGGGCCGCGAGCGCCGATCCTCGTGACTCCCATTCCCGAGGTCGACGAGCTCGTCCCTGGCGTCGACGCTTTAGCGTCGGGCCTCTGCGACGCGCTGGGCCGGACCGTCCGCGGCGTGACGGCGGCGCGCTTGTTGAAGCGCCTTCGGCTGCCGGCGCGAGCCGGTGCGCGCGTCGACGCCGCCGCGGCGTCGTCGACGCTGTACGCCGACGAGGGCATGCTCGCGCGCGTGTCGGCGACGACGGTCATCGTCGCCGTCGCCGTCGACACGCGCGCGGACCTCTCCGGGGCCGTGCGCGCGCTGGCGGCGGCGAGCGACGCGGCGCGGCGTCCCAAGCCTCTCAAGCTTGTCGCCTTCAGAGAGAAGCCGATCACTTATCCGGTAGCGACGCAATCGCAGCTCGAGCCGTCGATTCGCGCGATGCACTCGCCCGCGTCCGTGCACCGCGCGCTGGGGCGCGACGCGCGCGCGGCGCCCGCGACGCCATCGAATTCGCCCCAGAGAGCTTCATAATGCAACTTCACATCCGTTTCACCTTTACTCACCGCGTTAACGATGCAGGTTCGAGCGCGTCCTCCTCGACGCGCTGCGGCGCAAGGACCCGGGCGAGGCCAACGCGCCCGCCGGCTCCTCGTGTTGCATCATCTACATCTCGTCGCGCGGCGAGCTCCGGTACGCCGGTTCGCACCTCATCGAGAAGGAGCTCTGGGAGCGGCACAAGAACGAGTTCTTCGAGCTGCTGCGCGCGGGCGACGCGCGCAAGCTCGAGGCGCTGCTCCGCTTCCTCCTAAAGACCCGCGTCAACCAGCACGCGAGCACCTGCCGCGCGGGGACCGCGCCGGACGACATGGTCGACTACTTCAAGGAGTTCAAGACGTCGACGGAGTTCAAGACGAGCTTCCGGCCCGCGTTCGCGTTCTACAGCAAGGCGGGCTGGAGCCGCGCCGTCTTCCTCCACGGGGTCCAGTACCCGGCGGAGAGCCGCCTGATCGACGTCATCGGCCCCGACGGCGACTGGTTCTTCAACGTGAACTCCGCGCCGGTGGCCGGCGGCAACGTCTGGTCGTTCTACGTCCTCGACGTCGACGACGTGGTCCGCCTCTCGTGCCACACGCTCGCGGCGACGAAGAAGCGCGTCGAGTCGTGGAAGCGTTCAACGTTCAAGGAGACGATGGCGAAGAAGCCGCAGCACGAGAAGGACGCGCAGCAGAAGCAGCGGTTAAAGACGAAAGCGGAGAACCTCGCGCCGGAGCGCCTCGCGCGCGAGGAAGCCTACCAGGAGCCGGACGACCTCGTGCCCGTCGACCTCATGCCCGCCACGGTCGCAGTCAAGGAGCTGTACCTTCGCGGCGGCTGCGACCAGTTCGGCCAGAAATCCATCGCCCGCTCCATGGGCGGCGCGAAAGCGGTCAAAAAGCGCCTCGTCGAGAAGCGCGCGGAGATGGCCGCGAAGCGGGCCGCCGCCGCGGGCCTCGCGAACCCGGCCGCGCCCCGCGCGCCGGGCGCCGTCGTCGAGGAGGCGCCGCGCCGGTCGTCGTCGCGCGGCTCCGGCCGCGGCCCCGCGGTCGCCGCGGGGGCGCCGAAGCGCCGCGTCCGCGCCGCCGCGCCGCTGTCGCCGACGGACGCGCCGACGGCGCCGAAGCGGTCCGCCGCCATCCGCGCCTCGCCGCCGCGCGCTCTGCGGGCCGCGCTGGCGGCCTCCGCGGCCGCTCCCGCGGCGGCGGCGCCGGCGCGCCGGTCGACCCGCGCCTCCTCCGCCGCCGCCGCGCCGCCGGCCGCCGCTCCGGCGCCGCCGCCGCGCCGGTCGACCCGCGCCTCCGCCGGGGCGCCGGCGTCCTCCGCGCCGCTCGCGCCGTCGTCGCCGCGCGACCGCGCGCGCGTCACCATCGACGCCGCGCTCGCCTGCTCCGCCGCGGACGGCGCCGACCCCCGCGACGAACTCGCCGCCCTCGTCGCCGAGGCCTCCTCCCGTTTGATGGACCTCAGCCTCTAAGGGCTCTCGAAGCATGCACACATCGCTGCCGCCGCCCGTGTGGGTTGGGGTCGCGGTGTCCTCCGTCTCCATCGGCGCGGACGTCTCCGTCATGGCGGCCATCGTGTCGCCAAAGCGCCGCGGCCGCAGCATTGGCGACCTTTCCGTCAGCATCGGTGAATTGAATCGTCTTCTTGTGCCAAAACGAATCGCGCACGTGGCAGCCCTCGTCCGACTCCCGTGGTTCCTCCCGGGCCCCCTACGTTTAGAGACGCGTCAAGGCAGCCCTCGTCCAGCCGAACCATGCCGCTCGAGGACGGGACGAATGCGGAAAAAGAGGACCCCGAGCCCCCGTTGGGCTGGACGTCGAAGGACGACATCAAGGACTGCAAAGTTTATGGTCAGAGTTTGTCTCCCCCGTGCTTCAAAATCATGCTCTTCCTGAAGCACTACGGCATCCCCTTCGAGCTCGTGAGCGCCGACGCCGGCAAGGGCATCACGAAGGAGTCGAGCTACAAGAAGATCCCCGTGATGACGGCGTCGGGGCGCACGATCAACGACAGCAGCGTCATCGTGCACCAGCTCCTCGCGGCGTGCGGCGGCGACGCCTTCGACAAGGAGCGGCAGGAGGAGATCACCTTCGGCCTCCAGCCGGCCATCGAGGTCGACGTGCTCGCCTGCGCCGCGGACTTCAAGAAGATCGCGCTCAAGGCGGGCTTCCCGGTCTGGTGCGTGCCCGAGTTCGTGCTCGGGGGCCTCATGGGCGAGAAGATCAGCGAGAGCATCAAGGCGAAGAACCCGGACATGAAGCCGTCCCTCGACTACGGCAAGGCCTTCAAGGCGCAGTTCCCCGACACGACGTTCCACGGCGGCGACGACCCGGACCAGGTCGACATCAGCTACTACGGCACCGTCGCGCCGTTCCACGTCGGCGAGGGCTGCGTCGTCGAGGCGCACCTCGCGGACGCGGGGCTCGCGGCGTGGTACGAGGAGATGCTCGGCGTCATGCCCATCGTCGACTAGCGCGTAAGGTCACCGCCGCGCGGTCGTCGCGCCGCCGACGCACGCGCCGTCGAAGGGGTAGGGGATGACGTCGTACTCGGAGCACCCGCCGAGGTCGCCGAAGAAGCCGAGGTAGACGCGCGCGCCCGGCGGGACGTCGCAGATCGTGATGGTCTGCTCGAGCGTGTGGTCCGTGACGGGGCCGAGGGCGTCGTCGCCGACGTTGACGACGTTGCGGCTGTTGAACATGGGCGGCTTGCCGACGCGCGCGGAGACGCGGTAGAGGTCGCCGTTGTACTGGCGCACGACGAGTTTCACGTGGGCGTGCGCCGCCGCGACGTAGTAGTGGAAGACCCAGGCGCTCACGCAGACGCCGCCGGACTGGTGGTGCCCGGGCCGGAGCTCCGCGGCGATGACGTAGACGGCGATCTTGAAGCGCGCGTCGAGGCCGCCGCACTTGACGGCGGCCGAGAGGACCGCGTGGTCTTCGGCCTCGATGATCTGGCTCACGACGATGTAGTTGAAGGTGCAGGAGTGGATGTCGCGGACGGCCGCGGCCGAGGAGCAGTACGCGGCGCCGCGGTCCGCCGGCGCGGGCCCCGCGTAGACCCGCAGCTCCGTCGCGCGCTCGTCGACGCGGCCGTCGAGCACCTGCTGGACCTCGAAGATGATGTTGTCCGAGCCGCTGTAGCCCGACGTCGAGTGGTTGTACGTGAAATCGGTCGCGGCGAACGAGCCCGCGCGGCACGAGCCCGCGACGGGGCCGTTCGCGGCCAGCGCGACGGTCGGCGTCGCCGACGCCTCGACGGACTCGAGCTCCGCGCAGGCGCCGTAGAAGTAGTCGGCCATGATGTTGTAACTCGCGCACTCGCCGCCGCCGCGCAGGCCCACGTACTGCGTCACGTCCGCGTCGACGTCGCAGAGGTCCACGTTGACGCCGAGGTCCGGCGCCGCGATCGTGTGGTAGGGCCTACCAAGTGCGACGGGGTCGGATCTCTTCACATCTTCAGGCGAAATTCACGCGAAAAACACGCCCGTCGCTCGACGCTGAGTAGGGCGGCGTCAAATACACGACGGGGAAGCCGTGGCGCGCGACGGCGTTGAAGTCGCCCGAGAGGCGCCAGATCGTGAAGCGGACGTGCGTCGCGTTCGCGCCGGCCGCGGTCGCGAGCGCGCGGCGGCCGCCCGGCCCCGCCGGCGCCGCCTGGAGCGGCGCGAGCGCGTGGTAGACCCAGTTCTCCGGGCAGAGCTCGCCGTGGCTGATGGCGCCCGCGGCGATGCCCGCGGGGATGAGGAGCGCGACGACGGCGTAGCGCACGGCGAGCGCGTCGCACCGCACGCCGACGTAGTACGTGCCCTCGCGCAGGTCCGTCGCCGCGACGGAGACGGCCCAGGCGCCCTCGACGCCGCGGTCCGCGCGGAGCTCCGACGCGAAGTCCGCGGGGATCTCGCCGGCGTAGACGAAGACGCTCAGCGCGTCGGGCGTCTCGCCGTCGAGCGCCTCGTCGGCCCGCGTGACCTCGAGGAGCAGGTTGTCGTGCGCGCGCGCCGCGTCGACGTCCACGGAGTAGAACTGGTACTGGCGCGGCGCGCAGGCGTCGTCGAGGGGCACGTGGATGTCGAGCGCCGCCGCGCGCAGGCCCGCGTCGTAGGGGTCCTGGAGCTCGCAGGCGTCCGCGGACGCCGCGGACCAGCGCGCGACGACGTCGTAGGTCGCGCACGCGCCGCCCTCCGCGGACACGGCGACGTAGGCCGGTGACCCGACCGCGTGGTAGCAGAGCGTCACCGTCGCCGGCGCGACGCCCGCCGTCGACGCGTAGGGCGGGGTGACGCGGAGCGGCGGCTCGCCGGCCGCGGAGAAGACGACGGAGCCCTCGAAGGCCAGGACCTCGAAGGCCACGTTCACCTTGCCCGCGGCCGCGGCGTCGCCGGGCACGTCCACGTAGTGGTAGATGAAGTTCCCCGGGCAGACCTCGCCGCGGACGACGCGGTCCGGCGCGAGCGCCGCGGTCACGCGCTCGCCGAAGAGCCGGAACCGCGCGGGCTCGTGGCCGCAGCGCACGGACACGTAGAGCGCCGTCGCGTTGCGCATGGCCAGCAGGCTCACGAAGGACTTGAAGACGGCGTAGGTCGCGGACGCGGACCGCTCGGCGCGGTTCTGCGTGACGCGGTCCTCGGGGATCTCGTCGCGGAAGACGTGGACGCTCAGCGCCTCCGGGTTCGTGCCCCGCGACGTCGCCCCCGTCACGTCGAGCACCTCGAAGAGCAGGTTCGTCGCCAGGTCCGCGGGCTCGAGCGGCACGCGGAAGTCGCGCCAGCCGTACGGCTCGCACGACGCGTACGCGACGCGCTCGAGCGCGAGGTCCGCCGCGGCGTCGCGGTACGCGCCGCCGTCGAGGTCGCCGAGCTCGAGGTCGCAGGCGCCGGCGAAGGGCGCCGCGGACGCGTTGTACGCGGTGCACGCGCCCTCGCCGTAGAGCGCGACGTAGGCGAGGCCGCCGTCGAGCTCGTCGCGGCAGACGTCGAAGGTGCGGCAGCCGCCGCCGTCGAGGGACACGGCCGGCGCCGCCACGCGCAGGGGCGGGTGCCCGACCTTGGCCATGAGCTTGACGGCCGCGGCGCTGCCCGCGGGCAGACAGACCTCGAACCGGAGGCTCTCGTCCGCCGCCAGCGCCGCCGCGTCGTAGCTGTGGAAGAGGAGCTCGTCGCCGCAGATCGCGCCGTCCGTGGCCGCGCCGCCGGCGTCGAGGGCCTCGGGGATGCGCTCGACGAGGACGCCGAAGCCGTAGCCGTCGGAGTGCGGCGCGCATCGGACGCTCGCGTAGTAGCGGCCCGCGCCCACCTCCTGCGAGTTGATCGCGAAGGACAGCGCGCGGTCCTGCGTCGACTCGGACCGGAGCTCCGTCGCGCGCGACTCGTCGACGGCGCCGACGAAGACGGCGAGCTCGAGCGCGTCGGGCACGACGGCCGCCATGCCGTCCGGCGCGTCGAGCACGACCTCGAAGAAGAGGTTCGACGCGGCGCTCGAGGCGTCGACCTCGACGTAGAAGTCGACCCAGGCGTCGCGCGAGCAGGCGCCGGCCGTCCAGACGTGCGGCGTCAGCTCCACGGCGCCGTAGGCGCCGTTCTCGAGGGGCAGCGGCGCGTACCCCGCCGCCTCGGCCGCGGCGGCGGCCCATGCTGCGACCGCGGCGCCGAGCGCCGCCCGTCTCATCGCTCCGCGTCTAGCGACCTTTGGCCGTCCTTCTCATCGATGGCGCTGCCCGAAAGCGAGTGCTTCTTCTTCCATGGCCGTCCTTCTCATCGATGGCGCTGCCCGAAAGCGAGTGCTTCGTCTTCCATGGCCGTCCTTCTCATCGATGGCGCTGCCCGAAAGCGAGTGCTCCATGGCGCTGCCCCATGCCGCAAAGGAGTTTCACGACCATGTTGACGTGCACTTGCGTGAAAGCTGAACTTTTTTTTTCCGTCGCGCTCTGCGAGATGGTATACCAGCACAAGCCGCTGTGCCGCCGTCGAAGCGTCGCCCGGTGACTCGTCGGCGGCCATGGCGGCGCGCGTCAGCGCGCCGAACCTGGGCAAGCTGGAGAGCGTGCGGGGCCTGGACCGCCACGAGCTCGAGACGCGGCGCCGGGCCTGGTACGTGCGGCACCGCTTCGGCCTGTGGCTGCCGGAGGACAACTCGCCCCTGAACGGCAACGCCGAGGACTTCCTCGAGGAGGACGACGACGCGGGCGACGGCGCGTCGAGGCGCGTCCGCGTCGACGTGCTGCTCCAGCGGCTCCTGGTGAAGCGCGTGCGGCGCGTCGCGATGAGCCGCCTGCTCAAGTACCTCGCGTTCTTCGCGTGCTACAGCGTCGCCCTCGTGCTGCAGCGGAACCTCGAGAGCGCCTACGCCCTCGAGGCCGCGACGAAGGAGCGCCTGCTCTCGGCCGGGAGCCTCGGCAGCGACCGCGCGTTCCTCGACGTCGACTCCGTCGAGGACCTCTGGGACTGGCTCGAGGGCGGCTTCGTCGAGAGCG